AAAAAAACGTCATGCACACGCATTTGTGATAGTCAAGTTTGTAACTGAGATTCTTTCTTCAGATATCTGCAGGTATTTGCACTAGGATCATATGGATAGACACGCAATTTAAAATCCACGTATTTTAGGGGCTGAAAAAAAAATAAGTGGGGTTCCAAATGAAGTAAAAGTTTAATCTCTTAAGCATTAATATGCATGCAGATGGTTGTGCAGAAGTCTGGAGAGCCAAACTCCATGGCAAAATTAATGGTTTTATTAGTGATCATGGGCATTGGGTTTATTGGTTGAAAACCTGGATGAAGGGGATTTTTGTAATCTACGTCAATAACTAATTACATATTTCCAAATACTAGGTGTTGTATTAACTGTTGCTGTATTGGTTGAACTATAGGCAGGAAGGACTGTGATCACCACAATACATCAGCCATCAAGCAGAATGTTCTACATGTTTGATAAGCTCCTGCTTATATCTGATGGCTCTCCAATCTACCATGGAAGGGCAAGAGACTCTATGCAGTATTTCTCCTCCTTGGGATTCGTGCCTGAGCTAGCTATGAACCCTGCAGAGTTCTTGTTAGATTTGGCCACTGGGCAAGTGAATGGTATCAGCATTCCTGAAGCTTTGCGAGGTTCACCAGACCTTCAGGAGCTGGAGGGGAAGGTGACTAAGGTGATTAACTATGTATATATTCAAGGTCGTCAGTTGATGATTTCTACCCATTTTTTATAGGGTAAATTTCAGAAAAAGTCCCCCGAACCTTATAAATTTAAGGAAACCTTCTGGAGCAGTTCTCATTTAAGTATCATGATTAAAGAAAGTTACTTTTAAGTGTTGCTTTGCATGTGGCACTTTTGGAAAGTTGTACCCCTACCTTTCCGGCTAAGGTTAACAAAAAAAGAATACTATGTACTATTTACCTACCTGTTAGCCCTCTTTGTGAGAATTTCTTATAGATTGGATTAAGTGTAATTATGAAAGTTGAGGGGAGGTTTTCTACGATTTCTCAAGTTCATGGGGTTTTGGATAAATCCTTCAAAATTCTCAAAATTCAAAGGGGTGTGTGTAAAATCTTTGTAAGTTCCCAAGGCTCAGGGGATTTTGTGTATTTGTCCATTTTTTTGAAATTTGCAACTAACATTGTTTTGCAATGGCATCTTATAGCTTCTCAAATCAAAGTACAAGACAGAGATCGAACCCAAGGAAAAGCAGGAACACCAAGGACTGGTCAAACCGTACTCAAAGCAAATGCAGGTAGAAATTCAAGTGAAAAAGGATTGGACAATAAGTTGGCAAGAGCAGTTTTTAATATTATCAAAGAGAACATTTAGAGAAAGGTGCAGCGACTATTTGGACAAGCTGAGGCTAGCCCAGGCAATTGGAGTTGCCACTCTTCTTGGACTTTTATGGTGGAAGTCGAAGATGGATACAGAGGCCCAACTAAGGGATCAGGTGATAGCTATTCTCTTTTATAATTCACTGTGACACATGCATTTGGAGTTCTATGAGAATAAGCATCATCTAAACTTGAAAAACTTTAATAATATTTGTATATGGGAATGGAAACTTGAAAAAAGAAATTTATTAATATTGCAAGAAAGAGGAGCATCCTTTATGGTTCAACGGCATGTTTCGGTAGTAAAAACAAATTCATACTATACTAGTTTTTTATCGAGAGTCTCAAACAAGGTATATGGTTAAAATGAGGTAAATAGTTTGGTTATTACTTTAAGGGATATCTGTATAGACTGCCTGCTATGTCTGAGCAAGGCTTTCTTACATCGCCATTGAAGTGTGATTCACTGTTTCTTATTTCCACCCCTTTTATTGCAAAATTGTTATTAATTTTTGTTACTGTCCAATGCATGGTTCTTCTTAACTAGAAGAAACCCCCTTCATCTGACAAGCTCAACAAAAGAATCCCTCACATATCACAGTTAATGAAAGTTAATTCTATAATGGAGTTTACACTTCAAATTCACAGGTCTTGGGAGCTAAAAAAAACATAGAGAAAAAAATAATTTTTGAATAAAGTAAAAAAAAATCTAACTTTTTATCTTTAAATAGAATTCTACATGCTGATGTCTGTCCAGACATCTTAAGAACCAAACTCCACTGTAAATCTAACAGTTTCTTTAGTTAATTGCGAATAGACACCCTGTAGCATTACGCAATTGTGAACAGACGCCTGTAGTTCTATTTGTGGCGAATAGACCCCCTGTAGTATTGGCCCGAGTGCGAATATACCCCCTTAGTGAAAATTTTGGCTCTTCTAAAAATTAAAAAAAATTAGCAATTGGTGGTCTATGCTCATGAATAGAACTATGGGGGATCTAGCCGCCCCCTTGTACCTCTTTAAGAATTTTAAGAGTAAGTG